GAACTTCGTCAAAGCCCAGACAATTGCGAGGCACTCTTTCACCGTGACGGAATAATTACACTCAGCTTTCTTGAGGGTTCAACTCGCGTAAGCGACCACGTATTCTTGGTATCCTGGTTTTCGTTGAGCCAATACAGCACCAAGACTGACACCACTGGCGTCGGTGTGGACCTCCGTAGGCGCATCGGGGTAAAAATGACGTAGTATTGGAGGTGATAATAATAACCGCCGAAGCGCGGTGAAGGATTCGTCGCACTCTTTTGACCAAGCAGAGATGCCTTTGGAAGTTGTCAACAGGTTGGTAAGAGGCGCGATGATGGAAGAGAAGTTCCACACAAATCGACGAAAGTATGAGCACAGGCCGATAAAACTTCGAAGCGTCTTGATGGAATTGGGCTTCGGATAATCGGCCACGGCGCGAAGTTTCGCCGGATCCGGGAGAACACCCTCTTTGCAGACGACGTGACCCAGTATAGTGAGCTGACGTGCGGCGAAATGGCACTTCTTGATGTTATGTTGAAGGCCAGCCGAGTTGAGACACGTGTGAATAGCACGAAGACGAACAAGGTGAGTCGAAAAGTCACGAGAAAAAACGACGATGTCGTCTAGGTAGCAGAGGCACGTGTTCCACTTGTAGCCGCGAAGGATGGTGTCCATCATCCGTCCGAAGGTAGCTGGGGCGTTGCAGAGTCCAAACGGCATGATGCTAAACTCATACCGCCCATCAGGTGTTACAAATGCAGTCTTCGATCGGTCAGGATCAGCCATTAGAACTTGCCAATGTCCTGAGCGTAAATCTAAAGAGGAGAAATATTCTGCTCCTTGCAAGCAATCGAGAGCATCGTCGATGCGTGGCAACGGGTACACATCCTTCCGAGTTATCTTATTGAGCCGGCGGTAGTCGACACAGAATCGAATAGACCCATCCTTTTTGCGCACAAGTACAACAGGGGACGACCAAGGGATCTGCGATGGCTGAATGACACCACGCTTGAGCATATCGTCGACTTGTTCGTTGATAATACGGCACTCTTCCGCTGAAACTCGATATGGTCGTTGGCGTAAGGGAGCATGAGTACCGGTGTCAATGTGGTGCGTGATGTTCGCTGTGCGACCCAAAGATGGTTGAGCGCAATCGAACGCAGAACGGAACTCTCGAGAAGGGACAAGAGCTCGCGTCTTTGTGTCGGTGATAGCTCAGCGGCACCAGAGGGCTGGAATGAGTCTGGCGCGGGCAGTGTGGCCACAGGTGGCGTCATAGCATTGAGCTGGAGGTGAGGTGGGTGTTCGGCAAACTCCAGAGGGCGCAAGAGGTCAACGTCTTGTATGTTACCCAAACATTCTTCGCGAAGTAAGGTAACTGGCGACGATAGCGAGTTCGCAACGAGCATGGCGGTAGCACTGGATTCCACGGTGAGTATGGCAAAGGGCAGGTGTATGCTACGGCGGCGGGTGAATACGTCAGACGGAGTGAACAAAGCAGTTCCGGCAGGTGCGGCCGTACAGGTCAGGGCTACAAGGGTGGATGTTCTCGGTGCTATTTTCGTGTCTGCAACAACGACAAGTTTGTAAGCTTCAGAAAGAGAATCTACCAAGCAAGAGGTTGGCAGCAGTGTAAGGGCAACTTCAGCACGTGAGCAATCTATGATGGCCCGGTGACGCGAAAGAAAGTCTCATCCAAGAATGGCTTCGTGGGAGCATGATGCCAGCACAAAAAATTCAATGGCATAAAGTTCACCTTGGATAATGATACGTGCAGTGCACACAGCAGTAGGTTCTATGCATTGCGAGTTGGCCGTGTGGAGCATCAGGCCCGAAAGAGGCGTCGTCACCTTTTTCAACTTGCGGCATAAGTCTCACAGATTATGGAAACGGCGGCTCCTGTGTCGATAAGCGCTTGTGCGGCGGTCCCCTCAACGTTGACGTCGATAACGTTTTGCGGCGAGAAAGATGGAGGCCTTAAGCAGTTGGAATTGTATGCAGCTGTTGCCTCCGGAGCTGCAGCGATCAGTTTCCCTCTTCCGTAGCAGGTCGGCGACGCATAAGTGACAGGGAGCGTAGTCGGGGCGATGGTGACCGATGGTTTGCGTCGGGTCGATGACCGTCAGTGGTGTACCTTGATGGCGTCCTAGACGACGACGCGATTGGCCTGCCCACGGTGTCAACTGGAGGGGGATCACGGCGACAGTGGCGGGCGTCGTGTCCAGCGATACCACAGGCGAAACAGATGGGTCTATTATCTGGCGTCCTCCAAGCGTCTGAGCGACGGTAAAATGGAGCTGAAGATCTCGCGTAGGGATACGGCGCAGCAATTGGGGTTGTAGGCACGACATAAGGCGGCGTGGCAGGTTGAGCATACGGCATACGCTGTTGTGTAGGCCGAGCAGCGACGGCGGCGTACGTGAGAGGCGTAGTGACAGGTGGTTGCTGATGCATCGGTGGAAAGGCCTCAGCTACTTTGGTTCGAATGGCGTGTTGGAGGTCCGGTGCCAAAGCTTGCGCGGGCTCATGTGTCAGTGGCAGCAGTGACAGCTGGCGCGCTACCTCTTCGCGGACGAAGTCCTTGATTGTCGAAAGCAGCGGCTGCTGATCGGTAGGATGGGCAGCTAGGTGCAAGCTTGCGAGCGTGTATGGCGTCGTGAGGTCTTGACGAGCAATTGCGCGCTGCCTACGCAACTCATCGAAGCTCTGACAGAGAGAAACGAGCACAGTAATTGTGGGGGGATTTCTCGCGAGCAACATCTGAAAGGCGCCGTCGTCAATGCCTTTCAAAATGTGCCTGATTTTTTCTTCCTCAGGCATAGTAGAGTTGACGCGGTTGCATAGATGCAACACATCTTCAATGTAGCCCGTGTAGGTCTCGCCTGGTTGCTGCGCACGGTGACGTAAACGGTGCTCGGCTTGAAGCTTGCGTGCCGCAGGTATTCCAAAGACGTTCGTAATAGCAGTCTTGAATGCAGACCACGTAGGAATGTCAGCTCCGTGGTTGTTAAACCACAGTTGCGTGGTGTCCGCAAGGTAGAACGTGACGTAGCCCAGCTTACTTGGGTCGTCCCATTTGTTACTTGCACCGACTTTGTCGTACCTCGCCAACCAATCTTCGACGTCCGACTCAGTGGAGCCCGTGAAGATAGGAGGATCTCATTGAGGATACACGGCACCGCAAGTGACGTGGACGGTCGAAGGTCCCACCCGGAGAGGCGTCTTGGTGGCCATGTTCGTGTCACGTAGAGGGGGAAGCTTACGGGAGCGAAGTTCTAGGTTTGTACGGGAGTACCCAGCACCTCCATCAGATAGATGTCACGTAGTTTATTTACGTATAGACCTACTGGAAGGCCAAGGAACGCCAGAAGAGCGAGGAACGTCAACAGGCCGAAAATACAAAACATGCGCAAGCTCGGGTCGCGCGTGTGCACCAACGCTGTGGCTTGCTGTTTCTTGCTGCTTCCTCGTCGTTCGCATAGTTCCCTACATGGTGACAAGTAGGGACAAGTAGGGACAAAAAGTAGGTGACAAGATAACTTGCCTTGAGCAGGAACCGAACCTGCGACCTTATATATATATATATATATATATATATATATATATATATATATATATATATATATATATATATATGATTCAAAAAAGAAATTCTGTGGGTCCGGTGCAAATATAATCAGGAATAAAGGAGCACACTTACGAAAAAAAATTTGATAGTTATTTACTCTACGTTTCGGCCGTGGCATTGCCTTCGTCATGATCAACTCATCGAAGCTCTGACAGAGAGAAACGAGCACAGTAATTGTGGGGGGATTTCTCGCGAACAACATCTGAAAGGCGCCGTCGTCAATGCCTTTCAAAATGTGCCTGAGTTTTTCTTCCTCGGGCGTAGTAGAGTTGACGCACGTCAGCTGATCTTGACGAAGGCCGTGCCACGGCCGAAATGTAGAGTAAACAACTATCAAATTTTCGTAAGTGTGCTCCTCTATTCCTGATTATATATATATATATATATATATATATATATATATATATATATATATATATATATATATATATATATATATCAGATGATTCTTCATCGCTTCAATTGTAAAATGGACACAAGTGCATGTCAATTTTTCTTTCATAATCTTTTCGCCCCCCTCCGGGGTCCTGCATAAATGTGTTGGTCAAAACGGCATTGGCGTACCAGAGAAGCAAATGATAGACGATAGAACCGCTATTTAACTGGGATATCACCCAGGGGTAGAGCTGCTATACAGTATACGTAGGTGACTCGAACAACAGTCATAACATCCTCACATACTTTGTTGTAACAGCTTCGCATTTATTAACGGTATTTGCACTGTTCGGTGTTAAATTGTGATCTGCCTTTATATGCAACCAAAGTAAGGATTACAACAACTTGGTTGCTTAAGTGGAAAGGCAGTAATAAGAGTCGTTCAAGTCACTTGTGGATAAACTCGTGATAAATAAATAGTAAAGCCGCTTGAGTGAATTCAAGTGCGAGTCATGTAATTTGTTTCTGAACACTGCCACAGACACTTACCATCGTCAAACTGAGGAAAATCGAAGCTTGAGACCGGTGCCGCACATGGACCGTTGATGCAAGCACCTTAATGGTCGGTCTCAGCTGAAAAAAGCGAGACGTCCCGCAAGCTTAAACTCTACTTATTGCCAGGTGCGATGTTCATACTACACAATATGCAAACTAGAGTTACAATAAAAAGGAGAGGTCTACACTACACTCTAAAAAGAAATGGAGTATTTAGAGAGTAGTTGTTTGACGTAACAATCAACGTCATCTTACTTGCTCGAGCTTTGTTTCTCAAAAAAACTGGCGCTCGCTGCTTTCCTACCAAGAATGCTATGTCACGCTTATAATTCGTGCGCCGTTTATGACTGCGAGGCGCCGGACAGAAAGAGAAAAATCTTTATTGTATGTATATGCAGGGAGTAGGTGAAATATGGCCCGGTGCGAGCCACCCCCCAAAAACGCTAGGTGGACTCCTCACTGCAGAAGCCCATTGGCTGGACGTACAATGCGACTCGGGCTCGGTTGACAGGGCCCTTCTGGCTCGCCAGGTCGGAGCAGCTAAGCAGGGCATCCTCCGAGTTTTCCCGGGTGGGTTTCGGTTTCGGGTTGAGGAGAGGAGTTGAATGGCATGCCCACACCATGTTGAAGATGTCCGAAAACGTCTCCGCACAGTGCGGACATTTTCCTGTACCGTGGCGATAACGCGAGGAAGGTACGCGATTTCGATGAAGATTACTGTTGCGCGGCAGAAATACTCTCCAAATACTTGATTTTTTTTAGACTGTGGTCACGTAGAACTTTAGAAGCAGTGAAGCTTTTTCGAACATGGATGCCTAGAGTTGGTTTTTTGCTGGGCTAATGCGAGGTCTTCTCTTGGCGTAGACAAAGTGGAGTGGAACATTCTTGCCTGTCACCGACCATGCAAAAACTTCCACATTCTCCCGGCAGAACTAACGGCCAAAGCTGGCTGTGACAGCCCGGGTAGAAGCGTATTTTATTTAGGTAAGAAACAAGAGCTTTACACTGAACAATATGCCAACGGATGAATGATTTTGCCGCTTCCTGAACACAGTCACATGACTCACCCGCAACCACGCAGAAGAGCGACAACAGAGCGAGTTGTTTCATGCTGCTTCTTTCGATGTCTAGAGAGACATGTCCTAGCACACAGAATCTTACAGATCATATCACCTTTTAACACGCAGACGTATTCAGGCAAGACAGCAGTGATAGAGAAACTGCGTTTCTGCGCGATCAACAAAAAAGTGCGGGCTTTTTACGAAAGCTTCGCTATCAGGTAGCCCGTCTACAAGCTCACACTAGCGGTGAAGCGGCTTTATCTGACTCTCCAGACGGTACAACAGGACTGTATGCTTGACGTATGGTTGTACCAATCTGGCGGTGTCGCAGAATTGTGTCTGTCGCAAAACAAACGGATTATAGAGGTGAAAAAATTGCAGCTCGTGCAGAAAGAGGCGCTGAAACACTTTTTCAAGTAACCTTGAACTATATTTACTAAAAGAGCTTCTTGATTCATGAATTCAACACTGAAAATTTTCAAGAATCCGTCCAGTACGAGTGGAGTTGCAAAGACTTGTTACAAGCTTCAATCACATTCTTTCTTCTCTCTTCGCGACAAAAGTGCTGGAAGCCAAGCAGGGAAGGATAAAAGGGGCAAAGAAAATACGTCACGTGCACCTCGTGACCATGAGCACATTTTCGTTTTTTTTTTCTTTGAATACACGACTTTTTCAGTGTGACCGCGAGTGAACGCGTGGGTAAGTCGCGGCCTCCCGCGGTGATCCCTGTAACGACTGAACGCGCCATGTTCAAATGAGCCAATGGTCTTTAGAAGGCCATCTACGAGTGAAATTTCAGCCTCTTCCGTCATTTATTGAGAGAAGGAAAATGAATTTTTAGCTGACTTTGATAATTTATTGTGAATTCCAGACCACGTGCTGCGCTATATTATTTGGCTCGAGTGTTCTCGGGAGCCTCTACCACCGATCGGCAGCGTTTCTTTCCCATGATAAAAAAGTTTTGCAGGGCTTCTTTGAGGAAAGCGAAGCGAGCGCTTTACTCAAGACAAGATCAGCCCATATGACGATCTTACGTGTTTTTTCTGCTCACGTAGAATGAGCATCAGGTAGTTCGTTGTCTAGGAAATGCTCTTCACTATGGCTCATCGCTGTCTGTTCAGTCGCACGCCAAGAACTGGTAACCACTGGGCGCGGACTTTACTGACGTGGCAATGGGTTTTATGGGAATGAATTGCGGGAATGCATTTCACGAGAAGCATGCAGCCAGCAGCAGCCTGATGCTTGAGTTACCAAACATTCTAGATTTTTCAGGACTGCCCCAACTTTTTATACAACGTCTCGAGACCCACAGCGTCCCTGTAGGGACTTGCATACGTCTCGAATTTGGTACACACCATGCTGTTTTAAATTCCTATAAACTCTAATGCACTCCCAACAACGCGCGTCACGCAACAGAACACGAAGTTCACACGAAGCAATGTTAAGGTGGCTGCGAGGGGGTTGAGCCGCTTTAACTGAACTTCCTAGTGAAGGAGACAACTTTTACGAGCACATTTTCCAGTAGCAGGAAGCTTGATGAAAAGCCCATTGCCGGCTCAGCTAACCCTTCAAGCGACCGGAACAATGAAAAAAAAAGTGGGTTTGTCTGTAACGTACCGTAATGAATAAAACTTACAAATAAAACTGAAATTACTGCTACTCTAAATGAAACTAGCTTCATGTAAGATTGTATTCCCACCCCGCGTCCCGAATTCCTCCACTGAAGAGTTGGTAACCCGGCAATGCCGTATCCTCGCTTGGAACACGCCCGTTCGAAGTAGATTGATGTTCTTGTGTAAATATAGTAGTTGCTCATATATAGCAGACTGGCGAGGCCCGTCGACTACACTAGCGTGTAAAATGCGGCTTTTGGTTCAGCCATAACGATATACAAATTTTACCTTTTGATGCATTGCGTAAAGCAAAGATAGCCTGCTGCGTAAATAATATCATACGGCACAACAACCTTTTCGATGCATCCTTGTTCTACACTACTTCTCGGCCAATTAGAAATGATGCGTCTGGTAATTTCAATCTGCCCCCCACAAACAACCCGTATGGAGAGCGTCAGTTGCCATGTATAGGAGCAAAAATATAGAACAGCTTGCCACCTGAAACAAAGAAAGCCCAAAATCGTAACGCTTCTATAAAAAATTTCTATTTAAGCTTGAATGATGCGAGCTAACTTCGCCATTTTTTTCCTGGCATGTCGCGTTGCAGTCACAGAAATATCATACGAGCTAAATGGTTATTTGGTATGTGCGTTTTTCAAAATGCGTGCCGCTGTTCTGGACTGTGAATCTTGTTGTGGCCTAGCAACGAATGTTTTATTTGTGTTGCATTTGGGAATACGGATACTGGTATTGTCGGCTACTTAATATGTCTCTGAGTTGTCTTGTTTATGTTATTATGTACACTTAACTGATTTGCCTGCGTTGGTGCACCTTTTGACACTATCGCGATTATAGATTTTATTGTCGTTGGGCACAAAGATCGCATGCTAAAAATGCTTGTACTAGTACTGTACAACACCTTGTGTTTTAGAGTGTTAGTTTTTTTTATGTAACAGAAAGCCTGCATCGCTGCATACATTTTCTTTTTGGACCCAGGTGTCACTGAACGAGCGCTAAAAAAGAGCGCGCCGCCAAATTCTTGCGACAACGGGCGGGAGAAACGCCGCGAGGTCAAAAGAAAAAGAACAAAAAAGAAGAGAAAGTAAACGTCCAAGGCTCCCCGGGCGCGCGCTCTCCCCGCGGAAGCGTGGCGTCGCAGACGAACCTCCTCACCCCGCATCGGCGGCCCAGCAAGCCCGCGATTTTTCTAGAACGAACGGGGCGGGGTCATACCGAGTTGAACCATCCTCCGGGAAGGGCAGTCGAACCGTCTCGCACCTCTCCCCAGCTTTCGCTGCGTATCGCGCCGACGAAATGAGGAGAACCGTCTGGAATGTCGCGCACAAGGTATTTAACCGAGCAGCCGAGATGAGAGATCAGGAGGAGACGGAAGTTAACGCCAGAGCGCGTAGCGATTCCGCCGTGTAGTCGGCGAAGGTTTTGGTCCGTAGGGACGAAGCCGGAGATGAAGAGGATTTCCACCTGAGGGGTGAAGGCTCGGGCTACAGGCAAGAGCGTGTGTTTACCGCTATCGAGCGAAGACCCGTGGCAACAGCTGCGGGTGTGAAGCCGACGTGTTCCGGCGAAGACGTTGAAGTTTGAAGAGTGGCCAATTGAAGACGGGAGGTTTCCTGGAAGAGAAACTTCGAGGGCTGCGGAACGACAACAACGCTGGACTTTGAGTGAGTGATTCTCGGAAGAGTATCATCTCGACTTTGGTTCCAAGAACTTTGGACGGAATAGGTTTTCTATCTCTTTAGTCTTTAAGTGTCTTGGTTGTTCAATGCATGCGACTGCATTGTAGTGCGTATTGTTGTCCGTGTCCGTTGTTTCAAGTGTGGCTGATTGTATTGTGTAGTACATTGATTGATTGGTTTGATTGGTGACGTATTGTATGTAACTATTGTGGAGTGTGCATTCTCGTGTATTGTTTTCGATCTGCCAATTTTGAGAATATAATTTGTTGTTTATCAACTCTCGGCTCTGACTTGTTCTTTGGGCCACAGCCGGCGTCCGCTGGCGCGCCAAAAAGGACCGCTTCTAAATTGTCCACGCTTTCATGGTGCGGTTCGGGGGGCCGATACTCCGGCCCTTGGAATTAGCCCGGCGATCGCCTCCCTAATTAACGGGACTGGTGTGACAATTAATCTGGCGTCCGCGACAGGACCTTTTGGTGCACAGTGTGTCCAAAGTAGTGAGAAAGAGCCTCGAGTTGTTGATAGTGCTATCGGAACGATTTTGTGTGTTGCTCAGTGTTCTCGTTAACGAGTGCAGGGGAGTGTTCCGATAGACTGATTTAGGCAGATACTTTTTGCACGCGGCAAGGTTTTAGTTGCGAGTTGCGAGACACAATGGATCTCGAAAAGTTAGTTGCTCTTGGTGAAAAGATGGGTCTTTCTGGCGCCGAACTACGGAAGTGGGTCACCCAGAAGGAAAAAGAAGAAAAAGAGAGAGCCAAAGAAGAAAAAGCAGCCGAGCTGGAAAGAAAGAGGTTGGCAGCTGAGAGAGCCAAGGAAGAAAAAGCAGCTGAGTTGGAGAGAGAGAGGTTGGCAGCTGCGAGAGAGAAAGAAGAAAGAGAGGCAAAGGAGCGACAGCTGAAAGAAGAAAGAGAGCAACAATTGAAGTTAGAGCTGGAGAAAGAAAAGCTGGCCGCTGAGAGGGCGAGAGAAGAAAGAGAGGCAAAGGAGCGACAGCTGAAAGAAGAAAGAGAGCAGCAATTAAAGTTGGAGCTGGAGAGAGAGAAGTTGGCAGCCGAAAGGGCGAGAGAAGAAAGAGAAGCGAGGGAGCGCCAGCTGAAAGAAGAAAGAGAAGCGGAGATGGCTGAAAGGGAAGGGCAGCGGCAGCACGAAATTGAACTCGAGCGGCTCCGTTTGCAACAGCGAAACGAAACTCCCGTCCAAGCTAGAGTTGAAAGCAGCGAACGGGAAGACCATGGCTTCCGCTTGAACC